CGTGATTCTGGGGCTCCCCGCGCAATGGTATCCAACTGAGAAATAATTTTATTAATTTTTTTTGCATTGAGTTCATTGCCACAATACACTTTCTGTATGTGACCATGGTTAAAGCAGGTAGACTTGGTATCCTAATGGCATGTGATTAGTTGAATGGTGCAAGCAATATGATGTTGACCTGCTAGAAATTGCTATTCTAGTAAATTCTGGAGTAAGATTGTCTGTTGTATGTTTTATTGGGAAGACTGGCTATATATAGATGCCATAATTCTAGTACATCATTTTCCCTCTATCAAGAGCATTAATGAGAGGTATTGGAAGCTATATTCTGCATGGCTAGACATCATGCTTACATGCTGTAAAAAATGAACCGCATAAATTTCAGTGGGGTATATTCCTGCAACTGTAGAAAAAGAAACTTTTTTTTTTTTTCATTATGCTGCTTTTATTTCTTTTTAATTATGAATGTTGTTGTTATCAGTCTGTAGAAGCTGCCTAGTGAAATATTTGGAGGAAAACAACACCTGTCCGACCTGTAGAATTGTTATACATCAGAGCCACCCGTTACAGTATATTGGGTAAGTATGAAGGCAAAACTGCAACTAGCTTCACTTCAGTGTATTTAACTCTTTAATGCAACACACCTTTGTCCTAAATTTTCTTATTTGTTTATCAGCATGTAAAACATTTAAGTGGAAGTTTGACAGTGATAAACTGTCCTTATTGCAACCTTATTGCTTTGTTGTCTTTTCCTCCTGATTCTCCTCAGTGGCTGTGTGTGGTGTTTAGTTGCCAGCTGAGGTTAAACCATGACAGAGTTTTGATGGGATTTAGTCATTCCTCATTTTGGATGCTTGGCTCATAAAAACTACATAAATGAAACATTTGTAGTAATTATGCTTTTATAAAATCCTTTGTTGAACAGTGCTTTTCAGTGCTTGACAGAGTAATGAGAGAAATAATTGTCAGCTTTATTGTTCAGTTAACCTTTCAAAGGTCTTCTTTGTTCATAGGAACAGATAAGAATATGGCACCAAAAATACTAGACCAGTGGCTTTAATTTCTAGACTGGAACAGTCTTATCTGTTTTGAACCCTGCACAAAGGCTGCCACTTGCTGACCTAACGTGAAAGTAGTATTGCTCATTGGTTTCCTTTTTCTTACAAAGTATTTTTGTGTTTGTTGTGTTTTTTTTCTTTAGCTTTCAGAAAAGACATTCCCTTTCTTTTCCTTCAGCGCTTCCCTTTCATTTTAATGAGCTATAGTAACTTTTGCTAACGAAGATCCATTGTGACAGTGTTTCCACTAGCTGTTGTGTATCAAGTAGTAATTTGCTTTCCTCCATAAAGAGTTTGCTTTTCTTCATGGCAGTTTTCAATATGCCTTTCTTAGTTCTAGAACTTCTGAAGCAATGCTTACAGAAAATTAGTCCTATTTCTCTTCGTTTTTGCAGAAAACTGTCAGTGTTCTATACACAGTTTGCTCAAGTTAATGCAGATTCAGGAGCCTGAAACTACTTATGCCATCTCTGCATTTGAAGAATAATAGTGTAGACTGATAATGCATTGTATGATGCACTGATAATACCCTATGTGAGTGTAGGCTTTGAAGGGACAAGTAAGTGCCAATAGGCAAGAATGGATAAATGGCATTCAAGACTGTGTTCACCTTCTCTAAAGCTACACAAATACACCAGTGCCATGGTTCAGAAGCTTTTTTTCTGGGCCACATGGGGCCAGGAAACAGCATCAAATGGAGAACAGCTAGAAAAGGGCTTGCTATTTGGTTTTGGCCATTGAATACACTTCAAAGGAAATATTTTGGCTGGACCAGTTATAAAGTACCGCCCCTTCAAGAATGAAACAGCCTTTGCCCAGCCTATTTTTGGATATATTATTTCTTTAATAAAGAACTGGCAGTCAGGAGTTTGTCGTAGTATGTAGATTGACACCCCTGTTCATCTCCCTCTATCTGGAAAATAGGTAAACCAAATGTGTCTCCTGTTTCACATTTCTGAATGCTGTTAAATTCTCACCTCTGACCTAACAGTGGTGACTGATTTACTAACTGATGTTGAAATATTTTTTTTTTAAATGTTGCTGCAATCCATATGTGATACTTGAGTATCCCAGCCTGTGAAAGTGGGATTCTTACTGTCTGAATAACATTAATTTAGAATTATTGATAATTGATTCTTCTTGTAGTGCTGCAGAAAAGATAGTAATGGTCAATTGTAGATCTCTTGATTTGTCACCGTGTCCATGCCTCTTCACTGTTCTCCACTGCTGTGAAGTGCTTATGTCAGGTGATGAGAAGCTGAGGCGACTTTTTTAAGCTTCTTCTCCTGTTTAGGTCAGATTCAGTGTTTGGAATTGCAGGCTCTGTTGGGGTAATGATCTTGCAGCAGCCAAGGCAAAGATTTGAAGTGTTTCTGATTTTATTTATCAATTGGATTTGGGCTACTATTTTGTTTCTTTCAGACAGTGACTTTAGACTAAAAAGATAATTTTGTCTATGTGAGCTGGGAATTAAAGTTATGAGTCTTAATTGGTCCTGCTGCTCCATCTCCAGTAGGATTAATTACCTTTCTTTTATTTGAGTCACACTACCTATACAACAGATGCATAATTTTGCTATAATGTTGCTCAACAGGTAAAATGTTGGCTTTTAAGAACAAAATATATTACTGTTATGGTCTTTTTCTGTGAACTTTGTATTTTTGAGAAGTCTAGTAGAGATAAGTAATCTAGAAAGATAACAGAAAAGTCTGCAGTGGTAAGAGACTATCCTTGCTTCTTTTGTAATAAAAATTAGTTTACCTCAAAGTATTTTAAGATTATTTGTGGCATATGTGCCTTGATGCCAGAAGCCATGTTCCATGGGGCATCATCCTCCACATGTCCAAGACTTATGTTCCTCACACTTCCATTGGATTTCTATCTTAGCCTGTGCTTTTCCATAATTTGCTTCATGTTACTGATTTGAGCACTGAAATTCTTCTTAGATTAATTTAGAGGTTTAAAAAGTTCCAGTACTAAATTGATGTAAAAGAGAAATGTTTTGAATCTAGATGGTTGGCTTCAACTTTTGATTTTATTTTTTTTCTTGCTAGTCATGACAGAACAATGCAAGATATTGTTTACAAACTTGTGCCAGGCCTCCAAGAAGGTAAGTTGTGGTATGACCTTTTTTAAAGGTCATTTTGCACATACTTCTTCAGCATGTTAAAAGAAATGTTTCAGGTGATGAAAATAGCAGGGTAACTGAAGAAAAATACAATGGGAAACCATATTCCTTCATTTGTGTCATTTTGTGTGAATAGTTGAGTTCCTACCTATACTAGCAGCAATTCAGGTGGGTGGTAGGAGAAAAAATGGGATATTTATCCGAAAAGTAGTACTATGTAAAGCAGCGTTCAACTTTTGAATGTAGGCACACTAATTCTTATTTGTTCTTATTAAACTGTGTAGTTAAACCTGTTGTGCCAGCTTTTTAGAATTATCAGTTAGAATGTAACACAGAACAGCTTTTTGTTTCAGTAAAATCTCTGCTACTGTGTGAGTCTTTTCTTCACAAATAATTCAATTGTGTTTTTATAATCTTCTTTGGGACTGGAACTGCTCAACTATAAAAATAACTGCCCAGTAATTTTTTTATCTTTATGTTACAACTTTCATTTAAATGAGTATTTAAGCTGCAAAAGCAGAACATTCTCAAACATCAGTAAGATTAAACAGATTATTTTAAAATAATTTCTAGCATATTGAAAGTCAGAACTATAACTGAAAACAATAGTTTGAAATATTGTGGGAGAGACAAGGTATAGTATTACTTAAGGTATATAATACATAAGGCATAGTATTTTAAATACTATCTCATTCTAGTAGGAATGCTATAATAGTTGTTATTAGATGAAAGCTAAAGATGACTTTATAGTATTCTAACTCTGAAAAGTTAGATGAGGCATGACTTGATACAGTAGCAGAGATAATAACAGTAGTAAATACTGACAATACCACTAACTTGTTGACAAGCCTGTTTCACTGAAGGGGAAGGGGTTTGGAATAACTTCATAAATATTGCATTAGAACTTTATTACAGGGATTAATATTTACAATTTTAAACAGCGGAAATGAAAAAGCAAAGGGAGTTTTATCACAAACTGGGCATGGAGGTTCCAGGCGACATCAAAGGGGAGACGTGTTCTACAAAACAGCACCTCGATTCCCATCGAAATGGTAAATGGTCCTCTATCCATTCTATGTTGGGTGGGTGATGGCTAGGAAACTGATGAATAAACCAGCTGGAGGCACACGCCTGCTTGATTTATTAGTCACAGCTGATTTAGAACGCTGCATGATACGATGAGTGTAGAATTGTTCCTTTGTCCCCTCTCTGTGCATAGAGTCTTTCAGCTGGTGATAGCATGCTGCTCTGGGTGAAGGAGGTCTCCGTAGCAGGGCCTGTGTGGGGACTCTATGAAGTCATGCAGCACGTGGGCTGCTAGCAGTTGAACTGAAGGTTGTTGTATGTTTTCCCATCTTTGGCCCTTGGTGCTGTTGGCAGCTAGTGTTGCCTAAGCAGATAAGCAAAATTTTGGAAAAGCAAAGTTTATTCTATGTTGCAGTCCTAAACTCTGCTGTTTTAATCATATCAGCATTACAAGCTGCTGCTTGAGTGTTATCCCACATATCTGTCTTCTTATCTAAGGTGAAACTAAACCAGATGAAAATTCAAATAAAGAAACTTCAGAGGAAAAACAAGAAGAAGATAATGACTACCACCGAAGTGATGAACAGGTGAGCTCATAAGGCATGTTTTAGTTTTATCTTGTATTTTAGCTTTATTACTTTGGTCAGCTGACAGAGAAGAAAAATAATTGTTTCAAGCTTTTTTTGTCCTCTGATACAAAAAAAAGAGTTAGTGTTGTCCGATTTTTTTGTGTGTGTGTGTGTGAGAGCTTCATCTTTGGGTTTTGGCAGGATTGAAGAATATGTTAAAGACATTTCCATTAAGATTTGGTAGTTCTGACTGTTTATGAGTTGCCAATGTATTTATTTGCTTTCAAAATAAATTCAGATCATTTGGGCCCCCTTCTGAAGGTGTATAGCCCAGTGTTATTGTGAACGTGTATCAATAATTATGAATAAAATACTTTGTGCTTTTACAGACTTCCTATGCATTTTGTTTTAAATCTGTACTATTAAGACAGTGTTAGACCTCTACTGTAAAAACTGTATGAAAGCTGGGAAGTTCACCATTAAGTTTTAAAACAGAATGCATGTTTGAAAGTGAAATCTCCTTTTGGGATAAATAACCATCCCTTCTAAGTTTTCAAATTTCATGTGTATAGAGTAAGCTGAACTTGGAATAGTTTTCTTTTAAATTATAATGCAAGGAACTTTCAAAGGGATTGTACCTACTGTTAGGTCTTCTTAGTTCATAAAAGTAAATCATCACAAAGAGCTTAGACTAATGAACAGCTGGGTGAGAAAAGATGTACATGAGAATTAAAGAATAGAAACTGGAGGGACCCTTTAAGAGGGTAATCCTTAGAATATTAAGAATTTGCCATTCCCATCCATTCTTTTTAAACCTTAAATTCTCTTTTAAACATGTTAAAATTATGTTTTAAACTGGATTTAGCAATTGCACTAAAAGCAGAAAGTTATATTAGAAGCAATTGCTAAAAATTTGCAATATTATTCTTACTATTTATCTTACCTTAAGTTTTTACATAGGTTTCTTTTGATCTTTTGGCAGCCTATGAATTTTGACTGAACCAATGTTGTTCCAACATTGGAATGAATTTTTTTTTTTTTTTTCCTGTCTAGATCTGTTTTTGTCACAGTAGTGCTTACCACTAAACTGATATGATGTTAGAAAATTGTTCTTTTTGATAGAGTTACAGGCATTTCAGTTTAAGGAACACTAGTACTGTACTTCTTCACTTTGTTGTATTAATAAAGACTGCACATGGTATACATAATGAGGACTGCAGAAAATTGTTCCAGCCAACCCTGACTGTGCTTTTCTTGAAGGTAAGCATCTGCTTGGAATGCAATAGCAGCAAATTGCGTGGATTGAAACGAAAATGGATTCGTTGCTCAGCACAAGCAACAGTGTTACATCTAAAGAAGTTCATTGCCAAAAAACTTAACCTTTCTTCTTTTAATGAGGTAATATTTTAAACTTTTTAAATTATTTTGGAGATTAAAAAAAAAAAAAACAAAAAAAACCAAAACAACTTACGGAAAGTGTGGTATTGTTCCTTGGCAAAGGAATGTCTTTTAGTCTGTTTTTATTTTCAGGAAACAGAAGCATACATCATTTTCTGAATTACATGTTCTGAAGCCATTTTCTTGTCCTTTCTTGGGTCTGCACAGGACTTGTGACTTACATCTGCAGTGCATCGTTTCATGTCCATATATAAGCAGTTGAGCTAAAAGGCTTGGTTATGGGCTCCTGCTTGTGTTGAAGTGGACTCTCGCAAGGTGCTTTGTTTGGCAGCTTGTAGTCATGGATACCCCACCCTTTCAGAGCTTTCACCCTCAGTGTAGGGGACAGGCAGTAACAAACAGTACTGAAGTCCAGCTTAAGATAAATCAATACAAATACTTTGTTCCTTTCTGTGTTTTCAGTTTTCTCCTGCCTGAAGTTGCTGCCTGCCGTGACCTGAGTATTACCAGATACCCATTTTCCCTTCCTTTGCAGGGAATACTTGGAATCATGAGAAGAAATTATGGTGAAAAGTACATAAAGAAAGCCAATTCTTTGCACTTCTAGTTCAGATTCAAAATTAACATTTTAATGCAAATTATCTGGTCTTGACCACTTTGCTGGTCTTCATCGCAGTCTCTAGATACCTCAACTGACTGCAAGCTTGACATCTCCCAACCCTGCATTATGTCAGTTATTCACTGAATTACATTAAGACTTTTAATTGAAATTAAATAATGTGCTTTTCAGTCCAATGTGTCAACACCTTTCTGCTCAACTTTTCAACAGCCAGCTTGCATCTGTATCGCTATTCTTTCCTAGCTTCTGTACACTTCAAAACAACACTCTCTCTTATGTTTGGAGTGTGTCCCCAAAATCTACTAGTCTGCTGAAACAGAACTGTATCACCTGTCTTATTAGCTAGCTTGGAAGTGATTGACTCCTGGCTGTAGCCCATCACTATTAAAACAGGAATTCTTTTTTTTGTATGTGTGCTTAAGACCTCCATTCCACTGTGCCAGTCTGTGGTTTAACAACCTGCTTGGGTTTCACTAAAGGAACAAACTTTCAGGAGTACTGTTTATTCCTTTACTATCACTTCCTACCTTCTTAAATAAGGTTTGTAAACAGTGGTGTAACCACTGTACTAGTACCAACTAAGGGGTACACAGTAGAAGGAGTTAAGCCTGTGGGCACTTAGTGGATTGCTAAAGACTATTGCATGTTTGTGTTACTGCCAATTAGATAAGCCATGTAAGTGGACTGCATGGGCATTCAGGCCTTTCAGGGTTGTGTGGTGAATTTTGTGTCTGTGACGATTTTATTGGTCCATTTTCAAAGCGTCTCAAGCTTTCAGGAAAAGGCATCAGTACTGCTTGGAAAGCTAAATCAAACAGTAAAGTCCAGTTCACCCAATACTATCTAAGTAGGCACAGATGTAGTCTTCTATCACTTTATGTTGGTCTCTTTTCTTTCCTGGTACTATTTTTGTCTGCAGAGCAACTGCAAGATAAACAGTTCCAATGTCTTCAGAGAAGAAAAATCTTGTCAAGCATTTGTACTATTATCTGAAATATATTACTTCATTTACTCTGTCCCAATGAATTAACCGTCATCTTTTTTTTTTTGTCAGCTGGACATATTATGCAATGAGGAGATTCTTGGAAAGGACCACACACTCAAGTTTGTAGTTGTTACTAGATGGAGATTTAAGGTATGAGACAGTAATTCCAAGTAAATCATGAAGTGACCAAATAAAATGTTTATAAAGCAAGCATCATTTGGAACTGTACTGCAGGAACTGCAAACCCAATAAAAAGATACTTTAATAAATGTTTATCACAATGTCCTTAAACACCAAGTATTAATTTTGTTTCCAAGAAAATGTAGGATAGGAGAATTAAGTATTAATTGCGAGGGAAAGGGGATCACTTACAACAACTGTCAAATCATTATTAAGTGTGGCAAAGGAGGCATTTTAACTAATTCCAATAAAACTGTTTTTAATCCACATACATGGAGAAACTGTGATGCAAAAAAGGCAGAAATTTTCAAGACAGTTCTCTTCTGTAGTTCAAGATTTTATTTTTTCTAAAGGAGAGGCAGTAATTGCAATGCTTGTCTTTCTTAGTTAAGGAATCTTCCATCAGCATTATAGACATAAACAAGGCTGGTTAAAAATGTTTGAGTACGTCTTTGACTTGCTTATTGTGCTTGCTTTAAACAGCTTCCTTGAAATGGAATAGTAACTAGTGGGGCGTTCATTCAGAGTATTAATTATCACATTAATAATGGCAGCTCAAGTAAAATGGGTGTAAGAATGAATTTGCAAAAATTGGGCACTTAGGAGGCAAGTCACACCTGCAGAGTCTCTATATATGAATTTGGGGATATTTGAACTGGGAGTTAGTATTTCAAAATGGACTAGCAACGCAGTCCATGGGGGGAGGGAACCAAACAAGAGCATCAAATTAGTCTGCATCTGTACAAGTCTACCATTCGCCTTTATCATGGAAATTATGCAACTGTGAGTCACATGGGAAAGGGAACTGTAAACTGCCTTCTCAAGTGACATATTTGGGGGATCTGAAAATGAAACAGGAAGGTGAGAGATCCAGAAAAATTAGGTGGAAGCAATTTGTCACATGAGACACACGACTCTTTGGTGCAGCATGTTGTGGATGTTAGAAGTTTACCTATTTATAAAAAAGCAGTGGGTACATTCACAGAAGAGGAATCATTTGAGAGCTGTAAAATATGAAGTACTACATGCTCCTATGCTCCTTTCTGGACATCAGTATTTTCTCCCTTACTGTGGATGGGTTTTCCATGTTAAACAGGCCTGGTGGCAAAGGTGATCAGCTCCTAAGACAAAAAGAAAAGGATTTTTCGTCTGTTGTTTGAGCTCCACAGATGACATTGCATCTTCTCATTGCCTTGGTGAAATTTTGAAAGGTCATGTAGCCACTCTGGTAGCTCATTTAAGCTTTAGTTAGTAAAAAAAAGTTGCACCTACTGTACAGATTAGTTCTTCCTTTGTTTTTAATTCATTTCTCTCAATTTATCTTTTTGTCTTGCAGAAAGCACCTCTACTGCTACATTACAGACCCAAAATGGACTTGCTGTAAGAGAACTTTATTGTCCTTCTGGACAGAGTTTTTTGCAGAGACTATCACCTGGCACCTTCTTAGTGCATCACTAATCACATGACACAAATGAGCTGAATAATTTTGGAAGAACTGTAGGGCTTTCATAGTGGACTGTCCTTCTGCATATTTCTTCTAGGGATCTGTTACCTAGATTTCTGGACAGAAAATATTTATACTTTTTTTGTAGGGAAGAAAGAAGTTGCAACTCAACAAGACACTACCAGCACTTAAGTTTACAGATACTGAAAACACTTCACAGTTCCATGTAGCTCAGCCTGATTTATCTCTTTAAACTTACGCAGAAATAAATTAGAATGTTGTGGGGTGATTTGAAAATGTTGCTTTTGATACCAAGTTGCATTTAGTTACTTTTGACATTCTGAATCTTTAAAACTATATTTTTGCAAGGTGTTACTGTCTTATATAGTATGCCTGATTGCATTGGCTTTATTCAAGTTATTCTGTAGAGCATTGAACTTACCTAATGATATAGTGACTGGTGATAATTTATTATGCTGCATTGAAAACTTCTGAAAATCTGGGAAAACAATGTTTGTCATTTTTGCCTAGTTATTGCTCTCCCTCACTTTGTGTTTTAGAAAAGTTTTGATACTCCTCTATGCATGTTGGTTTGGTAAGAAATAATTTTGGTTGATTTTAATGTGCCCTGTTGTTTTGCTGAGGCATACATTGCACCACATAATGACAAATACTCTGCTAGATTTGTGAACTTTTTTTTTTTAAAAAACCAAACATTTCTTATATAGTTGTGGCTTGCAGAAATCAGTTTTTAATTTAGAGAGAATTTTCTCTCACTAGCTGTTGAAACATGGGCTCTTGGGCAACTGTGGGTGATATTGCATAGTTTTCATATGACTGATTAATATTCCTCAGATTATTATAAACAGCTGTATATTTCCTTTTCCTGTTTTCTTAGGAAACTATAGCTTTTTATTTAGCACATATCCTAGCTGCCTTGGTAGGGGACTGGGTCAGACAAGATTATTTTGGCACCTTCTGGCCTTAACTGATAATTTTGCTTGCATCAGCCCTAATGGATGCAAGGTAATACACGTGCACGTATGTATGTGTGCATACTTTTATACACACGTGAAACTATATATGTTATCGAATGCACCCTCAGTAACACTTAGCAAGGTTCACTGCTCTCTTTGTAAGGCTTTTGGAAATTGTTGGCTTTTTAAAAATAGTAGTTGAAAGCTATTTCTGCAAGCTGTATACAGTATAGCTATATAGTATGATTGTGAGAGTATTTGCCTGGCACAGGTGTCAAGTCACTGAAAACAGGTTATATACCACATTATTGGCAGCTGGAGATTGTTAACCTTCTAACTTTTGGAGTTTTCCAGTCAGCTGAAAATGCTAGTTGCTGTTCCTATTATTAAGCCCTGCTATTTTTTGATAAATTGTCTTCGGGTAAGAAAACAATTTTGCCTGTAACTGCCCTGCTTCCTCTAGCTGTGCTCCTTCTCCTCTTTTGCTAGAAAGCATTGTTATTTGATAACAGGAAGCTGATCCTATAAGAAGTTTATCCAAGCATTTAAAACTCTCTTCCTCTTCTTGAGTTTTCAAAGCACCACATTCATCACGTCCCATGATTTCCTTCTTTGGAGTCTTCAGTCCTCCTTTCTGAGGTCTGCTGCTGCGGAAGGGATGCTCCAACTTGTGTTTACCTTTGAAAGCAGAGTTAGTAATTTTTGACTAATCACAGATGTGAATGGGAAAGAAATGAAAATGTATGCAGACAGACAATGAAAGGGAGCCTCCTGAACTGTGGAGGTGGAGAGTCACACAAAGGCCAAAAAATGCTGCTGTCCTTGCAGATGAGGATATAGGATAGCTGCATCTGAATTTTTGGGTTACACAGAGCTCCACATTCGGCTCGGTAGATGGGTTTGTGTTGGAGTGTGTATGTGCATTTATATGAGCAATGGAATTGAAGTTGGCTCTGTTTTTGTCTTCACTGTTTGTAGACTCGGATACCTGCATTTTAGCTTTTTTTTATCCTGTCTTAAACATTACATGAACTGGCAAAGTGAACAAATGATATCACGAGTCTAGCATTTTTATATCTTTTCATGAAACAGTGAATGCAGGTGGTAGGGATGGGTACACAAACTGACATACTGGGCGTTTCTGGAGCTGTTTACGTGGTTATAACTGTTCTAGTGTAAATAAGGGACTGGCTTTAGCCACTGAGGCACTAAGAATATGAACAGGGCTGTAAGTGTCCACTCGGTCCACCCTGAGTACACAGACACTGTCTCTACCTGATGTAGACATAAAATTAAAGCTGCCATACAGCATTCTGATTAACCACCTTAATCAGGATAGATACATACGTTAAAAATAACATATATGCGAGATCTGTCTACCTCAGAGTGTGAGTACTGCAGAAACTTTTGTACGACCAGATATTAATGCAGTGCCGTTAAAGTACATTGGGATTTCAATAATTTCCTGTGTACTTGTGCAACTGAGAAATTGGTTACGAACACAAAAATTCAGAAGCCTTTCAAATCTGTCTCTTGATGTAACAATCTACAGTACAGAAGATACAAAAACATTACAACTATCTTTGGAGTCACTTGAATATGTTATGGTGCTATTGATATATTGAAAACTGTTTATACCTGTATGGATACATTAATTCAAGCTAGTATTAATACCTACAGCTTTTTTTTTTCTCATAATTGTGTGTAACCGCTTTTAAAATGTGTTTAATCTGATAAAACCTTACCAGTAAAAAGAAAAAAAAAATTACAAACAACTCAGTTATTTTTCTAAATCACATATCACAACCTCTTCACTACAGAAACTCTTTCCATCAGGAGGGATGTTCTGGACTATGTTTATTTCCTTTAGCCTTACTAAAAGATGACAATGCAGTTAAATTGAGGTCAGAGTAAGGTCTCGTTTGGGCCAGAGCTTTGTTTCACTTCTGTGAAGCTTAAGAGACAGTTAATTTACATCCAGGTTTTATCGGGTAAAATAAGCCTGATACTGTTCCAAGTTGGACTAAAAGTTTGACTGAGCATAGCTATCTCTTAATACTAGTGAGGTCATGTTAGTTTATTTGACTTTCATGAAGATGCCATTACTGTGAAGTAGTTTTCACAATTGCTTGCGCTGGTGAATAATTGTGGTAAAAAAGTATCTTGTTGCATTATCCTCAGCAGCAGTGAGGCTGATGAATCACCCAGGCTCAGAGTCTCATTAAATATAGTTTCATTAAAAATAGAGAATTCAGATAGAATATATAATATTGAATTTAAAGGAGATTTGGGGTTTTAAATTTTAACTTTATAAAATTATTTATTCTATTTTAAGCCTTCTGTCTTATTTTACCATCCAACTATCTTTGATTTCTGTGGTCCAGCTTTATTTACGGGCATATAAAATGAAATTGTAAGATGTTTTTACAAGCTTCTTCCTTTTACATTGAGTTTGAGTAGCTTTTAGTTGTATGTTTTTGTTGTGTATGGATAAAGAGCATTACTTATGCTTTTGTGCAATAGGTTTAAAACATGCATTTATTAGGCATATGTTTAAATTGTAAATGTAGCGTCTACTTACCATTAAATTTAAAAGGAATGTAGATAGCTTTTCTCACTTGTTCAAATG